CTATTTTATCCCAGCGGACTGGGAAAACCACCCCTGCAAGGTAGGCAACCCACACGGCGTGCCCCCCCAATATTCAGGATCTTCCTACGCCCCTGCCGCCGCTGCTCTTTCCAGCCCCTTCTCAACTCTCCCTTCCCCTCCCCTCCCCTCCCCACAAACACACGCCTTCCACGCTGCACACTCCGGACCAGACCTGACGCCTTGTCCTCGCTCCATCACGCCCAAGTCACGCTTCTCTAAGACAGGAGACAGCAACACCAATACGTATCCGTTCTACTCTGTAAGTACTTGCGAATGCTGCCCCTCGGATAACTCCGCGAAGGCTGCTGTGGAAACGATATTTAGAGACACTCTGGATCAGCGACGCGCGTAGTGAACACGCCCGGCCGCCCTACTGTCTTTTAGGTTAGGTCGCGGGACTACTGAGAAACCGAGCGGAGATGCCGCCGCTTCCACCCACCCGGTCTCAACCACCGCGGGCTTGCAAAGCACCCAGGAACTCCGATCAGTCCGGGCCAACTTCAGAGGCAGCCATCGCCGCCATGGAAATGGATCATCACGAGCAGGTAGGACCAAGCAGCCGAGTGCAGCATCGACGCGCACCTCAATGTGAACTCCGCGGTCAAGGAGAATCGCCCGGAGCACTCCTGACTTTCCGTTGCCGTTTTGACCTGTGGTTCTCGCAGTGTCTCCCTTAGATGTTGTTCTGCCCCTTTTCTTGTTCTAAGCCGTCGGCCGTCCGAGCGCGTTCCTACTGATCATACGGGAACTTGACGCAACTTTTAGCCCAAATTTTGACTATCCCGTGCCCAATTTTGTCATTAAGGACGTTTAGACAAGAGGTTCTCGTGACTGGGGTATGTTCGTCCTCACCGCTACCGCTCCCGTCCTGCCCGCAGGCGCTGCTGCTGACGGACCTGCCCGACCTGCCCCTGCTGCGGGTGCTCTCCTACCTGCCTGACGAGGCCCTGTTCGCGGTGGGCCGCACCTGCCTGCGCCTGGCCGCGCTCACCAGGACTCAGCCGTGGCGGGACCCGGAACAGCTCACGCTCAACACCGAGGAAGTGTGGGACCTGCTGAGGGTGGCCGCTCCTCCAGAGGTGGTGTGGATTGACGAGGATAAGACCTCGAAGACAACACAGTTTCTCTTTGGGGGTGCCGGCGCCATCGTTGGCTGTCTCGACAGTGACAGCCGCATCCACACCTTTTGCCCACCTCGAGTGCTGATCATGGAATTGATTAGCGTTACCTCCGAAGATGCCTTAATCCGGGAGGTAGCCAAGACGACGAAAAGTGTTGATTTCATTAGTAGAGCAGGTCTGGACATTATTTTCCGTTCATTGGAAGATGCGAGCTGGGGCCAGCTGGAGCATCTTACCTTGAGTAGGGTAAACCTGCACGAACAGCTGACTCTGGTGTGGCCGCAGGTGAGAACGCTCGCTTCCATGCCGGCTTTGTCGGAAAAGGCACCGTACCGTCACCGTCACGTCCATGTCCGCAGGACTTGGTGCTGGCGAGGCTGCGCACCGTGACTCTACTACCAGGCGACGGCCCAGACCCAGACTTGCCCTATTCTGAGGGATGCCTTGAAAGCCTCCGCTCCCTACTGCGAGCACACAGGTATCACCTTTAATCAGCGCTGCCCACCGCCCAGTGAGAAATACCGTTAGAAACGACGTCGAAACGATAGCGAAACGACCCAGCGATATCGTTTCGATGTAGTTTTGAAATGACATTTCTCGCTGGGCTACCGCCTCTATTATCCATCCGCTGTTTTTTTTTGAGTCCCTGACTCCTTTGCAGTGAACAGCTGGAGTGTGTGAGGATAAAGTCGTATGTAGAGCTTCTCGTACATCTAGCGGACGCCTTGCCCAGCGGCCTCCGTAGGCTGGAGTTCGAAGAGTTTACAGTACCGAGCGATGCCGCGGCACTTCGACGGACCCACGGTTTGAAGGAGCTTAAGATCGACATTTGGTTGCTAGATGAACTTTATGTACAGGCCTGTATTGAGGTAAACAAAGTATCCACAAAGTTCGTGCGGGTGTGGGGGGTCCGAAGGGGAAAATGCGATAGGGGACGATAAATGGCTAAAAATGTTTTTTAAATGTCAAAATACAAAGCGGATCACCCCCGCGACCCCGCTTTCACACTGACCATTGTGTCTCTCGCCGCCTTCTCCTATGTTGATCTGGCCGCCCTGATATGTTCCCAGCTGAAACACTTCTTACGGGCCCCGGGCCAGCTGGAACGCCTCGAGCTGCTTCGCTATCATCTGCCGTCAATTAACCTGGGGGCGGGCGGGCTGACAAGCCTCCAGTGTCTCGTTCTGGGGGACTGCTACTACGACTCACTGCTTGAGGAGCTGGCGGGCCTTCCCCGCCTGCGCTCGCTCATTATATTTCGCTGTGCTTTACCCGAAGTGTTCCGAGAGATCACACCCGCCGTCATCCCCGCCCTCGAGGTGGTCGTCGTCTCTGACTACGACGAACCCTGCAACACATCTCCCTGTGTGTGCTACGACTACGATGACCGTAAGACAGTCCAGGTTTATTTTGTCATACACTTGTCGGTGAAGAGTTTCGACTTTTCGCCTGCGTAGTTGGCAACACTGGCTCAAAGCTCTTGTACATTTTGCCCTCAGGAACAGGAACAGCATGCACGAGAGTCCCTCGGCTGATCTCGGAGCTGCAGGGTCTGGTGCGACGTGCCCCCGCCCGGCTACACGCCATTTATGGGTACGAAACGATGTTCTTCAGGCACCCCGTGTCAGAGACGGCGGGCTGCCCGCTGTGCCGCGAGGCCTCGGTCGAGGCAGTTGCTGTCATGCACGAGGAGTACATGGGACAACGTACGCACATTAAACTGGACGGTTCAGTTCAATGTGTAAAGGTGTAACAAAGAAAGGTATAACACCAACCCCAACCAAGCAAAGGCACTGTTCCCTCTCTTCGCTACCAGTGGAACCGATTATGGTCACTCGAACGGCATTCATTTGCAATGCCGAATATGTAAAGCCCCTTTTTATTATTTCTTGTCGGGGTGCTGTGCCGCAGCCGTCTCACCCCGTTCCAGGGACGAATCTGTTAGCCCTCCCACAATGTCCCTTAGACTCTCCGCTGTTATCCGTGTTCTGAGCGGAGAGGGTGCACAAAGGAAAGACGAATAAATTATTGTGTAAATAAAGGTACGCATTCTTTAAGTTGGCACGTTGGAGCAAAATGTACTTGTTTGTGACGTGGCGCCTTCCAGAGCAGAGGCACGGTCGAAATGGAAAGGGATGGGGGAGGGCAGTCATTATGTGAATGTGAGTGC